ATCAGTCCATTTTTGTAAGTGTAGGCTTGTGTTATCTTGCCCTGCTTAGTATCTGAGAGAATGTTTTGGAGGAATAGTGTTTCTCTTCACTGCTGCACAGAACTGATGATATTCTGACTCTCGGTGCACTGAGGTTATTCAGGGTGCAGCCTGTTCACTCATTTTAAAATGTAAATAACAAAGAGTTCGTTCTTTGAATTCATGTTTCTGATTACATTTAGTATTTCTTGTTTTTTTAGTAAATTTGGTTTCTTTCTGTTTGCGCTCAGTTTCCCAGTATACCACATTGGCTGTTGTGGTAGAAGTTTATGAGGGAGAAAGATCTGTCCTCCTGCCCTGCCTGTACTCAGGTTTCATACCTGAGGACTCCACAGTTATCTGGACTCTCAATGATCTTGTTCCCAAACCTGTCCACCTACGAGGAAAAGGAGGAGATGATCTTAATGGGCAGATCCAGCAGTACAAAGGGCGCACATCAATGAGTCCCTATGCTCTCATCACAAAAGATTTCAGCCTTACTCTGAGAAGGCCAACAAAGACTGACTCCGGCAACTACACCTGCTCCATCAGTGCTGGAGAAAGTGAACGGAGACTGAGAAGCATCCAACTGCATATCAAAGGTCAAACCCTAAAACCTGCTGTACTTATAGGTCAGAAGTCAGTGCTGTAGACAAAGGTCAGGTAAAGCTGAAGCTAACTAAATTGTTCTAAATGTCTTGATGAAACCAGCGCAGTAAGAAACGTCAGAAACTAGGACTGTTGTGGAAGCCACACAAAAAAGCTGAGCTCAGTCACTCAAAATATGATATTATTATTATTATAATATTTATATTATTATAATATTTTACACATCAGCCAATTTGAAACATTCAGAATTTCATTTCCTTAGATGTGTCAGAACAAGTGATGTGATGATAAGCAGGTTTAGGTGATTTAATGCCCGTAATATTCATTGTGATCCCTCACCCATTTGTGAGTGTAGCAATATTACATAAATTCCAGTTACAATAGAAAACAAAAAGAGCCAAAGACTGTTTTGGTACATTATTAATGTTTACAGAACAGAATCAAAGATCAGGAATGTGGATACTGAGCCAAGCTCCATTTACAATCAGTGTCAGTGCAGCTGATTCTACAGTTGTTTTCTTATCCTTTCAGACCAGCAGGTGGAGGTGAAGGTGGAGGTAGGCTCACAGTCTGTCATCCTGCCCTGCAAAACAAAACCTAACATACCCGAGGCCACCAGAGTGGAGTGGACTCGCTCTGACCTCGGACTCATGGTGGTCCATGAGTATTCAAACCAAAGTGGCCAACTTATGACTCAGGATGAAGTTTACAGAGACCGAACGAAGATGAATGAAGACCCACTGAGAACTGGAGACCTCAGTCTGACCCTGAAATACCCCACAGAGAGAGACACAGGACGATACATCTGCACCATCTACAGGGACAAAGACATCCTCAGATGGAAAGTAGTGCTGCAGGTCAAAGGTCAGTGCTGTACTTACAGGTGAGAGGTCAATGTTGTGGACAC